CATCGGAATCCTATTTTTTGATTAGTTGCAGAGCGTCGTACGACGCACATCGGATGCAGTGTGAATCCAGCAATAGTCAGATCCTACATTCAAGAAGAGTCTTAAGTACGGTCTTAAGAAGTCACAAACCAATCAGGGCAGCGTTCCAAATCGTAACTTTGGTTACTAAAAAGCTTTGGTTACTAAATAGTTTACGTTACGTTAACTATAGATTTCAGTTACCAAAGTTGCGTTTTGGAACGCACCCCTGGGCTGTGTTCGGATTCCCATTCGGATGCTCCTCGGGTGTCATGTCATTCTTGTTTAACGTTCGGTAAGTCCGGATCTACAATAGGTGTTTTAAGCCTTAAGCCGTAATAAATTGACCAATGGCAGACAAATTCGGGGAGAATAATCGATTATGATTCGTCCATTTCTTATGACTTATGGCTACTGCACACTGGACGCGATGAGCGATGAGCGACGAGCGATATCCAATAAAAACTCTGCTTTTTCTCACGTAACGACGCAAAGCAAACCTCTCATTGGATATCGCTCGTCGCTCATCGCTCATCGCGTCCAGTGTGCAGTAACCATTAAGGCTTAAAACTCTATTGTAGATTCGGGGTAAACAACAAGGATGATATGACATCCGGGGAGCACTCAGGTGGGAATACGAACGTAGCCCAGGGGCTCTATTCTTGAAAAGAAACGTATACGAAATTCTAGGGAAATGCTACAGTATACGTTACGTATACTATAGTATTTCCCTAGACTTTCGTATACGTTTCTTTTCAAGAATAGAGCCCCAGAAGGGCTGCATTAGCGTCTTAGGGTGCCGTCACATGCAGTGTAACCTGCGTAAAAGTATAACCTGCGTATTCTAGTAATTTACTAGATAGAATATACGTTACGCCATTCCGAAGATTGGCATTCACATAGAGCATATTTCGCGGAATTTAGAGAAATGCGGAACTAATGCAACTAATTACTGATTAGAATTTCTGTTGAACTATAATGGGCCTTCTACAATAAGCCGCAAGTCAGAAGTCTTAACCAGTCTTAACCAAGTCGTTCAAGTTGGCTATTGGCTAACTTCACCGATTATGACTTAAGATCGCTTAGAACTTCTGACTTGTGGCTTATTGTAGAAGGGCTGTTACAGAAATGCTAATGAATTTACGATTGGTTTTCGTAACCTACGCATCTCGAAAAGTATGCCTCATGGGGAGCCGGCATCTTTCCATCGCGTACATATGAGCGGATGATCGAATAAATTATTAATAGCGTTTTCGATTGGGGTGCACTGGCTG